GTGTAACGCACACGTGCTTTTATACGCGTACATTGTTACTCCAAAGGAGAGTGTTCGTTGAAGTCGGTATACCCAGCACATTGCTACCATTTCGTCTATACATTTTTCGGACTACACAAAAGCATTCGCCGCGATCAAGACAAAAGGAAGTGGCTGGCCTCCTGACGGGGTCTGTCCTGCTTGCGCTGGGCGTTACAGCAGCAGTGCCCCTAATCGCAGACATTTCAAATTGAAGTGATCGCAGGAATATGATCGCATTAAGATGATAGCGTGAAACTTCACATTTAAAACAATTGCTATAAAAAACCAGCCTCACCAACAAGAAAAAAATTGCACCATCTACGCGAACAGGACCACGGGGTTAGCACATAATAAGAGACAAGTGAAAACAGCAACGCGCAGCTGCCGGAGAAAGAGAAGGAGGAGATTCGAGCATGCGTATTGTGTGTGCGTACGTTGGTTGACGCGTGACATAACCGGGAGCAAGAGATGCTCCGTATCTACCAGACGTTCTCATGTTGTGTATTGTCGTGGTAAAGTTGTCTTTTCGCCCGCGTTACCTTTTTCGCATTTATATCGTGAGTACTACAGCACGCTTGAATTAACACAATTAACGTCCCGTACCCTTTGCTTGGCTTCATCATTATCTGTTGGTTTTCGTTATGTGTTAAGAATGACCCAGGCCCTTAAAATTAGCTTCTTCCGTCGATACTTCACTTTATTACCTTAAAGACCCCTCAAGGGCGTGTTACATAAGGGGTGGGTTGTACAGAGATGTAACTAATGCCACAATTTATTACCGAGACAGGTACATAGATACACTTTGAACAAAATGTGATGGACAACCGTACTATGATACAACGTATCATAGTACGTCCTAATGAAAATCCCCAGCAGTAAGATTAAGACCAAGAAAATAGTTTTTAAAGATTGACATGACGTTTACCGATGGCCGTTGGGACAAGACTGAAAAAAAAAGAAGAGTCGTGTTGCGTGTCTAGTTTTCAAAGTTGCAGTAAATAAAGTTGTGCGTTCTTTATTGAAATTCGTTGATTGATATGTGGGGTTTAACGTGCCAAAACCACCATATGATTATGAGAGACGCCGTAGTGGAGGGCTCCGGAAATTTCGACCACCTGGGGTTCTTTAACGTGCACCCAAATCTGAGCACATGGGCCTACAGCATTTTCGCCTCCATCGGAAATGCAACCGCCGCAGCCGGGATTTGATCCAGCGACCTGCGGGTCAGCAGCCGAGTACCCTATAGCCACTAGACCACCGTGGCGGGGCTTGTTGAAATTCGTCCCACCATTACTTTCAAGGAAGTAAGGCTCGTTGTAGTGAGTTTCGTGTAAGGTCACCGCCCTATTTCTATGTGTACACGCCTTGGCAGTCATATTGGTGTCATTGGGGTGTATGCTTGCCTGGGAACGTAACAGCTGTGACATTGATGGTGTCAGGATGACCAAGCAAAACATTAAGTAGGGTGCCGGCAAGACGTCGTTGATGCAGTCATCAGGAGATAAATGGAAAAAAAAGGGGGAGGGGGTGGAGCATAAAAGCAGTCATGTGCCCACGGTGGTATATTAGCGGCTGCAAATCGTGAATCGGTAAGTGTTATACAAGAATAGGGTGTAGGAGCAAGTGCGTCTAGAGCAGAGTGTCGGTCGCGTTGGACTATCTAAGGTGTCCGCCTCGGTGGATCAGTGGCTGATGTCCTCGGCTACTGACCCGCAGGCCGTGGATTCGATCCCGGCTACGGCGGTCGCATTTCGATGGAGGGGAGATGGTATACGGTACCGTGTTGTTTACGATGTTAGTGCTCGTTAAAGAGCACCGTACGGCCAAAATTTCCGGAGTCGTCCACTGCAGTGTCTCTCATATTCATATTGTGGTTTTGGGACGTTAAACTCCTCATATTATTATTACACGGAAGCAAGACCAGCAGGTCAGAGGATCTAATACCGGCAGCAGTGTCGTCATACCGATAGAGATAAAATGCTAGAAGCTCGTGTGCTTAGACCAAGGGGCACTTTAAAAGACCGCTGGTGTTAGAAATTTTCGAAGCCCTCCACTACGGCGTCTATCGTAATTGTATCGTGGTTTTGGTACCTAAAACCTTAGAAATCATCAATTAAGCATGAAAAACGTAATAACAGCATCACGGACAACCGCAGAGCCTGTCCGGTGTCTATTTGAGGTTTTTCTTCATGTCAAGAAAATGTCATGCCGCTTTGCTTGACACTTCCTAGCTTGGGCCACATAAGTAAACCTGGGATTGATCGGAAAATTTCCTGAATAAATATCTGCTTGAGTTCCTTGTTACGTTAGATAAATTCAGGGCGACCTGTCTACTATAGGTGCGGTCGTGGCGTACCTCAGCGAACATTACACTTCACTTTTGTGCAGAATTAGAAAAAGTTGACCTAAATATTATTCTTTATTCTGGTTGTCACTTTCAGCGTGCTGATTTATCTAATTGGACGTCGTTCGTCGAGGTGTCTTCACATCTGGCTCACTGACACGTGTAATAGTTATCAAGGTCATTCCTTACGCAATGATATTGCGCATAAACCTTGACTGTGCGGCCTCATTCCTTGGGATGGATGCATTGGCATGTAGCTGATTGGGGACGAGACAAATGCTTGACGCAATTGTTGCAATATACTTTTTTTTTTACCTTTTGCAACGTCGTAGTTTCTTATCGATGTTGTCGTAACAATCACTTCTCTAATGATTGTGAGGTCAGGCAACGCGTGTCGTATTCTTCGATAAATTTTGATAACAGTAAAGATACCTCTGAGTGGAGTGGATACGTTCCCTTGTTTACTCCTGATACGTTTTCTTTGCGCACTAATCACTCTATAAATAGAGCGATGCTTGCAAAATGACCTGCTGTAATAGAGGCAACAAGGTATTATTCCAGACGATGAAGTATAATGAAAGAAATCCGTTTGGAATTTATTTTTTTAACAGAGTTTGGGGCTTGGACAACACCTGAGATAATAAGCATAAAGCACATGTTCTTTCGCGGCCTGGCGAAACGTGATACAGTGGTGACATATATTGGCGATATGTGGAACGAGATTATCACCAAGTCTCTCTGTAGATATGTTCTGTGGGACGTGCGTTCTTCGAACACAAGTTTTCCCATCTGTTCTTTCTGGGAACCCTAGCATTTTTTAAAGAAAGAAATCCACAACACACACACACGCTCGCGCGCACACAGGCACATACATACATACATACATACATACATACATACATACATACATACATACATACATACATACATACATACATACATGCACACATACCTACATACATACAAACATACACATACATACATACATACACGCCGCGCCGCGGTGGTCTTGTGGCTAAGGTACTCGGCTGCTGACCCGCAGGTCGCGGGTTCAAATCCCGGCTGCGGCGGCTGCATTTCCGATGGAGGCGGAAATGTTGTAGGCCCGTGTGCTCAGATTTGGGTGCACGTTAAAGAACCCCAGGTGGTCGAAATTTCCGGAGCCCTCCACTACGGCGTCTCTCATAATCATATGGTGGTTTCGGGACGTTAAACCCCACATATCAATCAATCAATACATACATACACACACATGCATACGTACACACACATACATGCATACATACATGCGCACATACACACATACATACATGCACACATGCATACATGCATATATACATACATGCACACATACATACATGCACACATACATACATACGTGCATACATACATACATACATACATACATACATACATACATACATACATACATACATACATACATACATACACACACACATACATACATACATACATACATACATACATACATACATACATACATACATACATACATACATACATAGTCCCGCCGCGGTAGTCTAGTGGCTAAGGTACTCGGCTGTTTACCCGCAGGTCGTGGGCTCGAATCCTGGCTGCGGCGGCTGCATTTCCGATGGAGGCGGACATGCTGTAGGCCCGTGTGCTCAGATTTGGGTGCGCATTAAAGAACCCCAATTGGTGGAAATTGCCGGAGCCCTCCACTACGGTGTCTCTCATAATCATATGGTGGTTTGGGACGTTAAACCCCTTATGTCAATGTCATGTCAACATGCGTACATACATACATACATACATACATACATACATACATACATACATACATACATACATACATACATACATAGCCCCGCCGCGGTGGTCTAGTGACTAAAATACTCGGCTACTGACCCACCGGTGGCGGGTTCGAATCCCGGCTGCGGCGGCTTAATTTTCGATGGAGGCGGAAATGCTATAGACCCGTGTGCTCAGATTCAAGTGCACGTTATGGAACCCCAGGTGGTACAAACTTCCAGAGCCCTTCCACTATGGCGTCTCTAATATTCATATGGTAATTTTGGGACGTTAAATTCCCCATATCGATCAATCAATGAATACTTCACATACATACACAGCTAACAAGCATATCGTCTTAAAGACGATTATGCTTTTTAAGGTGAATTGTAAATGACACACCAGGTATCTCCTCCTCTCTCTCTTTCTCCCTAATTCCCCTCTCCCCCATGTAGGGTAGCAAACTGGACTTATGGCGAATTCCATTGGGAGAGCAGGTGCACTCAAAAGCACGCTCAAAGTGCTCTCTTCCGAGGCGGCGTGTTTCAGTGGTCGAACAGGAGTAGGAGCACTGTCATCCATTGGTAGAGCGAGAGCGCTTTTGCTGCGCCGAGAGCAGCCAGGAGCAGTTCTGTCTGCTCCCTCTTAAAAAGCGGAGTGAGTGGAAAACGCAGGAAACCACGTGTTTGGAACGTCATGTCCGGACATACCCTCTCAGCAATCCTCCTCACTTGTTTACATTTTGCGGCGTCGTGTCGGGCGGTTATGGCGGCAGCGAAGCGTGCGTGGTGCTCGGGCTCGAACGATTTTAACGTCGTAGCGGCAGATTCTGGCAGTGAACGTCCACCTTGCCTGCCTTCAGATTCACGGATGGCGGAGGCAGCAAAACGTCGTCGTCTTGCCGAAGTATTGACGAGCTAGACGATGTCAGCAGCGATAGCTGCTGGAGCTCTACGTCCGAGTCGAGTTCAAGCAGCAGCGACGATGACGACGAAGTGTATGCAGCAGCGTTTCAGCAGCTCTTTTCTCTGCCAGAGCGAAGGCCGAAAGTGGAAGCATATGTTACAAAGACGGTGGCTAGCTACTCCGACGAGGAGGTGAGTCATTCGGCTTCTGTTTTAATTAGGTTGCTTAAAGGCCTGTTTTCTTCCAGTTCAAAAGAAATTTCCGCGTCACGCGGCCGGTCGTGGACTTCTTGGCAGCAGAATTCGCCAAGTCACCGCACTGCCCTCAGAACAGTGATCATGGTGGCCTGCCTGCCAAGTCGGCTGAAGAACACATTCTCTCCTTTCTTTGGTGAGTGTCCGTACGTTTAGGAATGCCGCTGTCATCAGGTCACTGCATAATCCGTTTTATAGTGGGTTAGAGGCATATGAAATATTGCAAATAAATGTACCTAATTCGCAGCATGTCATTGGAACCACTTTGCTTTAAACTTGTTAAATGCTACTAGCGAGTGTCGAACGTAATAGAGTTATAGTATTTTGTGAAATGCTTTCGTAGTTTGTACACCTACACACTGAGCTTCACAAAATTCTCGTTACTAGAATCAGTGGCAAAGCATAATTCATGATGCATCATTACAAACAACCATGAAAACTTTTGCTCACGAAGCATTTCAAATCGGCTGTGTCAGCAGGTTCACAGTGAGCTTCATCTCCACACTTATAAATGTAATGCGCGAATTAAAATTAGAATTTGTTATTTAGATAGTGCTTCTACTAATCAAATATTTTGAGTTTCTAAGGTGTCACCCAAAAGGTGGAATCGTGTTTTCTGACTTCAGTTGTCTTGCTAATTTGCTTCATTGACAGCGACAGCATTGTTAACACCATTATTCAGTCATTGACAGCAACAGCAAGCTTAATTCCATTATTTAATTAGAGTATCCTCTCCTTTTCAGGTATGCAGCCAACAAAGCATGCATTAGAGATGTCGCTGGCCGCTTTGAAGTCGCAGAAAGCACTCACCACAGAATGATGGGCCGAGTAACTGCATTCCTGCTCGACATAGCACCGAATGTAATCAAGTTCCCCAGTGACCTGCAGAAGCTTGCTGTGGATTTTGAGAAGGTAACTATGCTTTTGTAAACATGCTATTTAAGGTATAAACTACAGTTTTTTTCACACCAATGTCATACAGCTCTACACAACTCAAGGGACCAGACTAAGAGGAATTACACCTACTCAAACCACAATAAGGACTGAAAGCAACTGATATGCAGGATCAGAACTGCAAATGAACAGAAAATGTAAAAATGCAAGAGATATGAAAGAGCACCACACAGTCAAGCCTCCTTCATGTGTATTACAAATGCTGTCAGCAATCGGACATTTTTCTTGAGTAGTTTTGACCATGTGATGCTGTTTCATATCTCTTCTATTTTCCCATCTTCTGCTTAGTGATGTACATCTAGTACTTGTCCTGCATGTACAGTGAATAAACCTAGAGTTCAGTTACTTGTGCACTCTGTATGTACTCTGTATGTGTCATTAATTCCCCTTCGTGCGGTCCCATGTGTTCTTTACCGCTCTACTATTACAATTATGAATTAGTTAGTGCCAGAATGCACCTTTTAAATAAGTTATTACAATTATTTTTCCCAGATGCTTCACAATTAAATAGCCAGTTAATTCAATCATGTGTACCGGTAGTGTATTGCACTCGCCGTTATGAGCTTCAAGTCTCCAGTTTGTTTTAAACTTTTCCGCATGTTATTGGCACCTTTCATTACCCTTAGTGCCATGCTTATTTGACTATGTGTGTGCACATTTTTTTCTCTTGCAGCTGTCGGGATTCCCAGACACAATTGGGTGTGTTGACGGAAGCTACATGCCTATCAGGTGCCCAGCCAGGAAAGTGCGATCTGTTTATATAAACCGGCACCATTACCTATCCTTGACACTTCAAGGTGTTTGTGACAACAAGAAGAGGTTTCTTGATGCCAGCACTGGCTACCCAAGCAAAATTCATGACGCACGCATTTCCGTCGGTCCAGGATTTCAAGTGTTTTGCCACAACTGTGCTCTAGCAAGTACCATATAGTGGGGGATGCTGCATATCCTTTCCGGGAGTACCTGATGACACCAATTCGAGACTATGGGAATCTTGACAGCATCAAAAAAACCTTCAATGCAAGACTCTCCGGGACAAGGGTGCTTATTGAAAATACTTTTGGCGATTTAAAAAATCGTTTCAGACAACTGCACAGGTTGGATATGTGGACAGTGGATAACATGTCCAAGTTTATCATTTCATGCTGTGTGCTTCACAACCTCTGCATTGATTGTGGAGATTTGCCAGAGAACCTGTCACGAGACCTGTCACTTACCTCACAAACAACAAATGTAGACTCAAGCTCTTCTGCAGTTCAAGTAAGCAGCAGTAGTGTAGCCCAACAGGATAGCCTATTACGTGGCTTGGCTAGCATCAAGAGAGATCACTTGATGATAAAAATGGGGTTGCAGAACCAGCAGCCATGAAACAAGGAATTCCTTTACGTGTTATGCAGTTGTGAGCAAATATATGCTTACCAAAGGCCCACCTGAAAAGCTGAACTCGTTTAAACACCTTCAAGGTTGGGAAAAATTGTCCTTACCACACACCTGTTGGCCCATTTGCATTTTCTCAAGGTAGTGTATTGTGCCAAACTAGAAAATAAAAGACATTGAAACTAAGTAATCGCTTTGGGTAGTACGTTTATTTATTTAAAACTACCACTTTATTTTGGAAGTCCAAAGGCCTGACGGAGAATCTCCATTTTTTCTTCATGCATTTTGCGCCGCTCTTCACGAAGCACCTGTCGCTCGGCCTGCCTTTCAGCTCTTCGATTTTCTTTTTCTTGACGTCTGGCCGCCTTTTGAGCCTCCTTTTCTTCTTGCAGTGCCCTCATTTCAGTAAAAAACAACTGCATGTGTGCCAGGCGTGCAGTTCCTACCCGTGGCTTCGTGTCGGGATTTGAGGACTGCGTCTTATTTTCCTCAGTGGTGTTGGCAGGTGACAACACGGCCGGAGATTCGGGCGAGGCTTTGAATGTAGCCCCTGAGGCGTCTCGCTCTACCTCCGGTTCAATGCTGTCATCAATGCTTTCAATTTTTTTTCACCTCGTCGTCAAAAGGCACAGGGGTGGGTAAAGCACCAGACCTTTTGTTATGGTCGGAAGACGCCTTCCGACGCCTAATTACTGTTTTGTACCTATTTTCACACTGTTCTGGGGTTTTGGCTATGCCAAGCACAGCCTCGATGTCCATCGATATTTGTTTAAAGGCTTGCTTCCTGTTTTTGAATTTTTTAAATGGGCCAATCTGAGGGAAATATTTGAGGTAGTACTCTAGGAGCAGCCTTGTTGCCCCTCTGTCCATTCAGCAGCTAGAATAAGAAAGAACCAACACATAAATGGTTTATTGGGAAACTGTCGGTCATTGTGCAGGCATTACTTATAATTGAATAATTTAACACACAGCACGGTCACTTGAGCTTAATTATCAATCAGCAAGCATTAATCAACAAAACAAGCATTTGCGCAGACTAGCAAACATACATAAGTGATAAGTTCTGGTATTGTGCATGTAAATGCAATATGCAAATTGTGCCAGTCTTCCAGTAATTGTAGTGGTCTGCTTTCCATGCTCTCTTTTTTTTTTTGTCATTTAAGGATCACTCCTACAAGTACACTTTTACACGCTCTGATGCATGCTTGTTAGATTTACCCAAGAACACTTGCTGAGGCAATTGTAGACACTCAGTGTTAATATACTTGCCTCCACCTCCTCTCCTGGAGCCTGATGGCTTGCTTTGAGCACCAGTCTCCCCGTCAGCTGATCTTGATGCAGTGGGAGCTGGCAGGTGCAGAGTATCTGTGCCATCTAAAAAATATAAATGAGCAGTAAATGTAGTGCCTCGCAATAATGTTAATACTAATACTTACCACCTCCTGTTTCAACGCATGGCAATCTGAGCTCCATGCGCATTTCTTCGCTCCCTCGCCTTGGCACATCGCCAGCCATATTTGTACGCAGAACTGCATCTGTTTTCACACAATGATGGAAATGTAATCAAATCAGTTATATAATGAAAATGGTTTCTCAAGTAGTCAGCTACATTATGCAAACTCGGATGCCTTACACTCGAAGGTAAGCGGATTAGAGCAAGCAAAAACAAATTCTAAAAAAGTCAATTCATCATGTTACAGGGCTGCATGAAACACTGCACAAATCACTGATAATTAAAAAAAAATATCGCTTATCATACGTAGCATCTCGACCCTGCGATAAGAAATCGTGCTTCCGAGGAGATGTATGGCTTCACCGTATCACGTGGGATGCTGATCTGCCGTCTGGAGACATTAGCCACTTAAAAATCAGAAATAAAAATAAATTGTTACTGCGTGCAATACTTAGCTGCACCCACGTGACACTTGCTACACGCCACTTCGCAGTTACTTTTCTTAAAACGCTGCGAATCATTCTGTTGCTGATGGAGGGGTCTGCAATGTAAGTTTGTTTTGAATTAAGGATTAATTACTCATGCAAGGAAACTTGGCAACAGGATAGTGTACTGCAGTACTTCTAGAATTGTTTACGTTTTGTTAACTGCTGATGACAGCAGCAGCTGGTAACTGCATGAACAGTCTGATAAAGCTGTCATATCCACGGTGTTTTTCTGATATGATAAAGAATAGTGGGCTTAGGTCCACGCGCGCAAGAATGCATTGCATGCTGCATGCGCGACAAGTGCGCTGAAACAAATAAAAAGCAATCAAATTCACTTTACCTTCCGTACTAGATGGTGCCTGGTGTTGAATTAAAGACAGTAGGATGCGCTGAGCTTCCGAGTCCATCATGTAGTAGTATACGAAGCAGCAGCTTTGCAGGATAGCGCGCAAGCGAGTGCGCTGTACCAACCACTGCCACACGTGCTTTCCTTGCCCGTCCGGATCAGACCGCACGTGTTTTGCAGCAGAGGACGCTGGGATGCACAACCTTTCTCCTCACTCGCCTTTTTATTCCCTCACACCTGCTCTGCGGAGGTGTGCCGCATTCCAGTGGCAGGTCGAGTGACGCGGCTCTCAGTGCTCTGCCCCCTACTCCTCTCTGCTCGGCACCCTTACTCCTGTTCTCTCAATGGAATTCGCCATTAGTCTAGTGTCACACCTGTCCCGTTAATTAGGGAGGCAATCGCCGGGCTAATTCCAAGAGCCGAAGTATCGGCCCCCCGAACCGCACCACGAAAGCGTGGACAATTTAGAAGTGGTCCTTTTTGGCGCGCCAGCGGACGCCGGCTGTGGCCCAAAGAACAAGTCAGAGCCGAGAGTTGATAAACAAACAAATTATATTCTCAATAATGGCAGATCGAAAACAATACACAAAAATGCACACTCCACAATAGTTGCATACAATATGTCACCAATCAAACCAATCAATCAACGTACTACACAATACAATCAGCCACACTTGAAACAACGGACACGGACAACAATACGCACTACAATGCAGTCGCATGCATTGAACAACCAAGACACTTAAAGACTAAAGAGATAGAAAACCTATTCAGTCCAAAGTCCTTGGAACAAAAGTCTGAATGATACTCCTCCGAGAATCACTCACTCAAAGTCCAGCGTTGTTGTCGTTCCGCTGCCCCCTGAAGTTTCTCTTCCAGGAAACCTCCCGTCTTCAATTGGTCACTCTTTAAACCTCAACTTCTTCGCCGGAACACGTCGGCTTCACACCCGCAGCTGTTGCCACGCGTCCTCGCTCAATAGCGGTAAACACACGCTCTTGCCTGTAGCCCGAGCCTTCACCCCTCAGGTGGAAATCCTCTTCATCTCCGGCTTCGTCCCTACGGACCAAAACCTTCGCCGACTACACGGCGGAATCCCTACGCGCTCTGGCGTTAACTTCCGTCTCCTCCTGATCTCTCATCTCGGCCGCTCGATTAAATACCTTCCGCGCCACCTTCCAGAAATTTCTCGTCATTTCGTCGGCGCGATACGCAGCGAAAGCTGGGAAGAGGGCGAGACGGTTGGAATGCCCTCTCCGGCCGATGAGTCAACTCGGTATGACCACGCCCCTTTCGTTCTGCAAAAATCGAGTGCTTGCTCGGCCGCCGTTGTGAGGTGAGGAGGTTCGTCGTGAAGCCACGCTTCTGCGGGGAGAGCGCGCGCCCGGGGAGCCTTGGGCGTTTGCTTTCTTTTTTTTTTTCTTTTGACCTCGCGGCGTTTCTCCCGCCCGTTATCGCAAGAATTTGGCGGCGCGCCCGTTTTTAGCGCTCGTTTTGTGACACTGCCCCCCACTTTAAGAATATTTATCTCATAATATTCAAAACCACACAAACGAGCGCGATCAGTCACCACACACTCTCACAGACTGTAACATAGTCCGTCGCTCATGACACGTCATATTCACAATAGATCACTTAATACAATTGTACATTGTAATTCAATTACACAACACGTGAAAACACAACCACAAGCACATGAGTACACACTCCACCACACATTCCCAATAATACAAATGTACGAAGTTCTCTCATTAAAACAATGGTCCAAAACGATTCATCACATCACAGCACAACACTTCGACACTTGTGACACAGGATACCACAACATTAACACAACATATGGCACTCAACACTGCCAAACACATTCTGCTTTGACCTCAGCACTTATCCTGTGTACTTTGAGCTGCGCTTGCGCCCCTTTTTGCGGTGCTCGCTCGATCTCTTCTTGTGTTTCCACGTTCTTTTTCGGCGAGCCCTTTCCAACGACGATATCTGAGGCGTCGTCTCAGCCATCGTTGTCTCTTCCAACACCGTTAACGCGTCATTACATTCGACGGGTCCTGTCTGTTTATTTACCCGCTTGATCATGCCTCTACATTTTGCCCGGCTGGCCAACTCCGTCTCCTTTACACTGTCGGTCGGTTGAGGTCGTGCCGACGTAAGTCCGGTTGCTGGGCCCGTGAACTGATTCGACACGATCGTCTTCTCCTTCGCTGTCTCTTGCGCCGCAGCTTCACCTTGGGCTCTAGTGAGATCCGTCACGGGATGCTCCTTCACTGTGTCTCGCGGCCGCTGTGTTGGCGAGGGCTCTATCTTCGGGTCTTCTCCCAAACATTCTGGATCACTTGGCCCTCGCGCCCCGTCGATGTTTCCGATGACAAGGTCATACAGGGGGGTCGTCATGCATAAAGCAGTAACCTTCCCGCTGAAGTACGGGGTTTCAACCTCAATTTCTGCTTCGGGAAGCAGCCGAACC